ATCTTTTCATTTTGCAGCTGTTGCTGTGTGTGCGACTTTTCGCAGACGTCGTCTACGTTTACAGTTACAGCACACAACAATGTGTGTGTATATCAAAATTAGCATTTGCTTTGTGTTTAAATGCGGGTTTTCCCCTGCACTTAGCGCATGTTTGTCGCGGGCAGAGCATCTTGCAATTGCTTCAAAAGTATCTTAAAGTTCGTGTGTGCCGAGATTATCGTTGTAAATATTTATGAGCTGCCAATTCAAGTTGAACTGGTAACAGCTGATGTCATTTTCTATGAATTGCTGAGCTCATATCGGGCCCAAAAACAGCCGCAGCAGCAGCAGTTGTAGAGATCGCCCATGTAACAGCGAGTGAACGGGTTGGAAAAAAGCTTTTGTCAAGGCATTCAAGTTCAGCATGTTTGGTGTCGCTCGAGAACGACCCAATTAGACGTAGACAAAAGTTGCGTAGCTTATGTCAGGCAATTGTTGTTCATTTTCCATTCAAGCATTGATATTGAGTCCCCCATTAAGATGGATGTCAAGAAAAATAAAAAAATCCAGTTAGATTGTGCGTATGTGTGAGGCTATGTCAGTCAGCCAGTCAGTCAGTGAGGCGCACAATTGGCACGCTTCTGATAAGAGCAATGAGAACGCATTTGAAATGCAATTGGAAATATACAAGCGCTGACAGCAGAGGCAGCAAGAATATTTATGTCTTTGCACCCAGTAGGAAATTGATGGCATACATATCAGCAGCGTAGATGATGACCTCAGCAACATGTCTTCGGATGTGTCATGTCATTGATTGTGTTGACATTTGTCTTGTTTACGTATCAATAGAAACAAATACATAAAAAGAGAAAAACACTAAAAAATTATGATGAGGTTAGATTTAAGTACGCATTATATATTTATATATACCTACTTATATTTCTTAAAATCAAATGCATGAAGAAAGAGGGAGAGCTGCATGCTTACTGCGATGTCAACAAGCTGTCAACGCAGTGAAGGCCATGTCATCGTCAAGTTTCCAACTGGGACTATGCACCTAATTCAACAATCTATATGCACACACATACGTATATATATACATATGCTAACATATAAACCCGTTACCCCGCTCTCTCTCTACTCTCTTCGCTCACTCTGCCTCTTCGTCAACGGCTGCTGCTGTCAATTGAACGAATGCATTGCACGTCAACTCTGGCAATTGAAACTGAACGAAATAGAGACATGGCCAGGGGCTCCGTGAATGAAAAGCGCAAATTGATAATTGAGTTTGGCACAGGCTCAAACTGCAGTTAGCAGTTGCAGAGTTGCCAGCCAAGTGGGTCAGTCAGTACCATGTGACAGCACACACGAGCCAATTAGACAGAAGAGTACACAGGCAAAGAGAGAGCTCGCCAGAGGCTGCCAGTCTTGCATGCATTTATTTATAGTGAGCAACACAAATTAGTTCTGCGCTCACGCCTAATCATCGATTCTTATTGGAATTTGACACTGGGCGCTCATAAATTAGGAGAGCTGGCGCCGCACAAGTTATGTGCCCAAGTGTGAACTTCTTGCACCCAACATCGATTGATAGGTATCGTTGGTTCAACTCCATTTCCATTTGCTCATGTCTGGCACGCCTCTTCTTTTTAATTTAACGGTAATAAAAACATCACGTATACGCCCCGCTGCTAACGGCAATGCAATAAAACAAATGTACGTCCCCGCCTAACCAAAGCGAAAGCTTCATCATTTGTTTGCCCCACAGCTAACAACAACAACAACGTGAACTAATATAAATGGCAGCAGCGACAAAGTGTCAACCAATGGGTAAGGGTGGGGGCATGCGTGGGCAGCAGCAGCAGCAACATCAGCAGCTGCTGCATAACTCGCAACGCAAGATTAAAGCGCAACACGAAACCAAAAATTCCCATTCCAATTCCCATTGCCATTCTTATTTCATTCCCTTCCCTCCATTCCCAAATGCCCATGGCAAACACAAATGGAATGGATACCGTTGCAGCTAAGAAATTTTTCTAGCGAATTCAAATAAGAGAAGAAGCATGATACAAGAATTTACTGCGGACCAATAGGACACATAAGCAGATTCTTGAATTTCCTTTTTAAACTGTATGATCTTATTGGAATTCAAATAAAAAAATTGAATATATAAATTTTTGAAATATATATATTAGAAATTATTGAGCGTTGGAATTAGCTTGCCTTTGGCTTTATTAAGTTTATTTTAATTTCGTTAAAACATATTTTTTTTCATTTTTCTTGCCTTAAATATTAAATAAGCTTTTACGAAATTTTAAATTTCTAGGAAATTTGTTTCATTCAAATATCCTCAAATATGTTTTTTAATTTTAAATAAAAAATAAAAGAAATAAAATACTTTGATGTTATTTTATAAAATATTTTCTGATGTATGTTTAGTAAAATTATTAATAAATTAAATGAAACTATTTATATATTTCCCATATAAGCTATACTGATATCTTTTCTAACTTAAGCCCTCCTTAGCCACCCTGTTTTAACCGTTTTCTTAAAGTATTTATGTATAAGGTATTCAAAACGTGCAGCTACAGCATGTTTTTTATAAATGTACTTAACAAAGAGTAAAAACAAAAAAAGCTAATCTCATTTTGCCATGCACAAAAAAAGAAAAACATAAATAAATAAAGTGTTGTCGCGTGGTCTACTCATTCAGCTGTTGCATTTGTTGTCTGTTGTTGTTGCTGTTGTTGTTTGCATGACATATATTTCTCAACTGTTGCTGTTGCTGTTGCTGTTGTCGTCGTCGTCGTCGTCAGTTCCCAAAACACGCACACAAAGAAACAAAAAGCGCTGAGATTGTAAAACTTAAATGAGAATTGAAATTAATTTGCTGCGCCGCCGTCACTCGGCGTGGGCCGAGAGCCAGAGAGCTCCAAGTGTTTTCATGGAAAACTGGGGAGGTGGCAAATGGAAATGGAAGTGGGCGGCTGCCGGAGCAGTAGACGATGGCTGTGCTGTTGTGATTGTGTCGATTGCATTGCATAATTGCAAATGACGTCGAAATGTGTTTGCCAGAATTTTGAGGCAATTAGCGCGAACATAAATGAATATTGAAATATGTATATATATATGTATATAGATAAGTGACATAACTATATTATAATGAACATATACATGTATATATATATATATGTACATTAGCTATACTTATATAAATTTATGTGTGTATATACCTCAAATTTGTTGTATTTTTGATCCTTCATTCCTTATCATACAATAAATATATATACATATTTTATATGCTATATTTATCTGTATTTTCTAGTAATGTATTAAATACTCAGCTTTAAAGAATATTCTGATAGTCTCGAATATTCTTTAAAGCTGTTTAAATAATAGTTAAATAATAGATAAGCAATATCGTATAAGTAATATTATTTTCCATAAAACTATAACTTTAATTCCACATACCTGCCAAAAAGAAAGGCCAAGGCCACCAGTAAGGAAATGTACTGCCCCAATAACTTTGCCTTCTTATCACATCTTCATTGGAATTGGAATTTTTGCGTTCTGAATTTTTTTCTTGTTTGCTTCTATTGCTTTTATTACTTTTATTACTTTTATTACTTTTACTACTCTTACTACTTTTACTACTTTTACTACTTGCACCACCTCCTTTCGGCATTTTGATTTTCTAATATCTAAAACAAGAAAAATATATTTTTTTTATTTTTTAAATTTGTTTGATTTTTGTTTGCAAGCCAAAAATATTTTTGAAAGTTTTCACTTTAGCATTTTCCAAAAATGTTTATATCCAATTTTCATAGTGAGCCATGTGAGGCTCAGGTCTCAAATCCTACTCAGTGAACTCATGAGTTAATATTTTCAGTGTATTTCGACTTTAGTGAAATATTTATTAAATTTAATTATGGTTTCTGATATAAATTATTTGATTTTATTTTTTATTTTTCTTATTCTTTTTTAATGACTTTTCATTTATTTTGGGTAATTATTTTTTGTGTTTATATATTTATTTTTTTATTTAAATGAATTTTTAAACCTTTTTTAGTTTTCTTTTTATTTTATTTTCTTTAATTTATTTAGTTTTAGTTTTTTTTTTAATAAATACACATATATATATTTTTATTTAAATGAATTTTCAAGCTTTTTATTTTTCCTTTTTATTTTCTTTTCTTTAATTTATTTATTTATTGTTTTTTTTTTTTAATATGTACACATATATGATATACATATGTTTACATAATTTTCTGTTTATTTGTGCATAGGTCGTGTCACGATATAACTGCTGAATCATCTATATTAAGTCGTGCATAGTTCGTGTCACGATGAACACACATACATATCTCCATATATCTCGTTTCCTGCCACAATATACATATCTGCATAGATAACATAGACGAGTTAAGTCTCGTTAATATCGTGTCACGATATACATATCTTCATATATCTCTATAAACACATCTAATTAACGAAGCGTTGAGTGTGTCATTGAAGCGCTTATTTCTGGTGAGCTTTGGTTGAGTTAGGTTGGGTTGGTTTGGGTTGGGCTTCGTTTTGTTTCTGGTTTGGCGCTGCAAACTGGAGCATGCCACACGAATTCGGGCAAAGCGCGCGAGCGTGTGGGCAAGGTCATCAGCTCGATGGCAATTGACTAGGAGTAAGACGGGAGCGGAAGTGACTTAGAGTAGGGGTTATGAGCAAAGCCAATAAAGCTGAAACAAAGTTTTGCATATTTGTGTGCGTGCGCGTGTGTGTGTATATCTCTCTCTCTCTCTCTCTCTCTGTGTATGTGTGTGTGTGTCAGCACTGTCAGCAGTTGCCCACTTGTGTGCTGAGGGCCAACAGCCGCTCAAATGTCACGCTCCACATGCTGGTTTTTTGTCTCCTCCTCAGCGCTTGTCAAGGCCCACTTGACGGGCCACTCGGAGCAGCGAACAGCACTTGAATAGTATTCAAACTAATCCCATATTCTTTGTCTCTTTCTTTTTCTTTTCTTGCAGCTCTTGGCGTTTGCGTTTTAGCCGTTTGCTCGCTTGCCCGTTGCCACGCCCCGTTGCGGCGTGCGCCCCAAAGCCGTCAAGACGACTTACTCGATTATGAAGCTCAGCTCGCCGCGGATCATGCAGCAGAAGCGCACCAGCAAATCCTCCAACATGTCCCGGGTCTCGATGACCACCTCGACGGCGGAGGAGAATCTGATCGAGTCGAAGCTCTTCAGCTGGCTGCGACTCTTTCGCTTCGCCTCGCTGCTCTGTCGCGCCGAATAGAGAACACACATAAATACATACATACATACACATACATATATACACATATATATATATAAATATATAACTAAGCTAATGAAAATCTATAAAAGAAAACAAAAACAGATCTAGTAACAGATACTCGTGCTAGTTTGCCGCTTTCGATTCACGTTTTCCTATAATGCTAAAAACTAAAAGAGAAAAAATTGAATGCAAATATTAAATTAACAAAATTAAGACACTTTCTAGATTTGTGCAATGTAGACACTAAGAATTGGAAATGTTTCTTCTTCTTCTTCTTAAAAACTTAACAACTTTAATCGATTATTGCTTTTTGTCTTTCTTTTTTGCTTTCAACTTTCAAGTTTCAAGAATTAAGTCAATTTTTAGTGTAAATTTCGCTTTGCGGAATTTGTCGCGCCTTTCGTACCTTTTGTATTGTAATAAGCAAAATAAACAAACAATTTTATGATATATGAAGAGAAAAACCATAAACAAAAAAAAAAAAATTAAAATAAAAATAAAAAAATTTATTGCGGCTTTTTGATTGCTTCAGTTCGAAAACAACAACAATAAACAACAAACAGCAAACAGCAACAACAACAAGAACAAAACGAGATATATTTTTGTAATTTACAACACTGTTTTTTGCGTGTCACAAAACAGAAACAAAAGTTAATGCGAGGCAAATAAATAAAAGTTTAACTAAATGCTAAAAACGCAGTATACTAACAATAATAATAAAACAAAAACAATATATATATACATACATATATATATATATATATATATATATATAGAGGCATATATTTACAGTTTAACTCGATGCGAGCAAAATGCGCTTAGCCAACACTTAAAACAAAAAAAAACTGTTCAAATAAATGACAAAAGTTTCTCCCAATTTAAAGTAATTGTAAATTGCATTTAATCCAAAGATGTTGCCAATCAAGCGTAGATCAATTTGTCAAAAAAACAAAAAAACAATAATTAAAAAATATTATTTAATTAGTATTTCACTTAAAGCCAAACTCAAGCAACAGCAGCAACAACAACAACAACAGCAACAACAACAAAATACCATAAAACTTATTTATAATTATTAATTAGTTAGTAAGCAAATGCAACAACAACAAAAACACTGTACTAAAATAACAAGGCGCAAATAATGCAAAAAAAAAGCCGAAAAAAAAAACAAAAAATGTTGACAAGATATACAATGCAATAAATCGATAACGATACATAAATAAAGTCTTTAAACATGTTGTGTGTTCAATGCAAATAAAAACAAAAAAAAAACAAAACAAATCGATTTTTATTTAAATTTAAATGCGCGCCAACTTATGACTTGAATAAATCCATTTTCAACATTGAACTCTAGATGGCGTTTTTTAGATTTGTTAACTGACAATAGTTGCTTGGCATACGAGCTTGCACTTAACAGCATCGACTTCTCCGTGGACTTAACAGAATTTGATTGTTTGGAGCAGTTTTTATTACAGATTGTCCAATATGAATAATCGTTTGTTCTACGAGTTCTGCTAAGTTAACAGTGGCATGTTAAAATATGTTAGCTTGGTATGCAATATATTTTATAAGTTTTTTAACAGTCATTGCATACCATACAGAGCTGACAGCGAGGTTATGAACTATTTAACATTTGCTGTTTAACTGTTGCCGCCATATATGTTTAACGATGCGTATGTGTGATGTAGATATAAAAGGAATACATATCGATACAAAATGATTCAAGCCACACCAAGCTAAATTCTTATTGGAAATAAGCTTTCAATTGAATAACTTGGGAGTCTTGTTAAATAATTACGAATTTGCTCAATAGAATAAAATTTTAAAAGGAAATAAAAATTAAAAAGATATTCTTTAAGTACGACTATTTATATGATATACAAGTGAAAAATTTATATTAAAATAAGTATACAATTTATACGCTCTTCAGCGTTTCCAATAAGAATATTTATATTTGCCTTTCGCTTCGGCATGAGCACATTTTGTGGTTGCCGCCAATTTCTATCGCCGATTCTCTTTTGAGCTTTCATTTTTGTTTAGAATGTGATGTGTAAACAAACAGAAAAGGTGAGTAAATTGTGTTTCCCTTGGAGCATGCGCAGTGGCATTAGCCGGCGCAGGGAGAAAAGCAGCCTGCGACTCGTGAAAAGTTCGGCAAGTGCCGAAGACTGCGGTTCGGCTGAGGCGGTTTTCCTCGAATTTCCCCTTCAAGATCAAAGATCGGCAGCAAATTGTTGCTTGGATGTTTCAGTTAGTGTTTCGTGCTCGTCGAGTGTTGTTCTCGGTTTTTCCTCAACATAAACGAAAGTTTTTGTCACAGCACACACACAATATATACATACATACATACAATATATTCGCCTATATATGCTGAGTGCATATATATAGATAGATATATATATATATATACATACATATATTATTAAAGTTGAATCAAAGCCGATTACTGTGCGCTGTGTGCTTTGACTAAATCGAATAACGTGTTTCAGTTCTCCAAATGGTTCGTTTAATTACTCAATTTCCCAGCCACCCACGCACACACAGACGCACTTGAAAACGGATTACATAATCGCAGCGAAGAAAAACGTGGAAAACACGTTTTCCACTTGAAAACGAAACAGAAAAACGTTCGACTAATCGTGCGTTAGTTAATGCGCGTGCACTTAAAGCAATTATATTAAAAAAGATCATTAAAACGATGGCACTTAAGATCAGTTCGGTTGCAACTAGCAAGCAGGGGGCGGTTACAAGTGGGGCGTGTGTGTTGTGGTAAAGGAGAAGAGGAAGAGGTCGAAGTAGCAGTAGATATATAATCGAAGCACGCTGCACTCGCAGCATGATTTTTCCGACCAAAAGTTTAACGAACTGAGTTCATTTCTATTTTTGAAATTTATACGAAAAAGTAAAGAACAAGAAGAAGAAGACAGCTGAAAGAAAAGCAGCCAACGCAACGGCACAAGAAAGTGAAAAGTCTGCATGGTTTTTCCGCTGCGGCAAAATGTGTGCTACGGGAACTGATCTGTGAGACGCCTACACTGTGCAAATTTTCTGTTGCCTCTGGACATAAATTGAGAACAGATGCAGATTTTGTACACCATTTTATGGACTTTTCGCTCATTGCGAAATTGCTACAGTAAATATTCGCTAAGATGTATTTCTAAAAGAGAATAGTGTAGAATATTTGAAATTTATAACAAACTTTTTATTTTTTATCTACAAATTATTTTTAACATATTTTTTAATTGAAAAAAAAATTTTATTTATAAATTTTTTAAACTTTTCATTTTTTTATTTGTATTACAAATATTTTGTATATACTTATTATACGATTTTCAAGTCCTCTTTTGATTTCTGAACTAAAATTAAGAAATATAAAAATACCTAAGCATAAAAAATATTAAAATAGTTAATTTTTTTATTTAAAAAATTTTTTAAATTTTTAATTTTTACTTAAATAAAAATTCAACATTTTATTAAATAAAGTTCTGCTAAAATTTTCAAATAATTTTTTTTTCTATTTGAAGACTTATTCATAATTAAATCATTATAATTTTCCATTAAGCAGTTTATATATAAGAATAAATATTTATTTATAGACAACATAGCTTCGCACTCGATTTTAGCGAATGTTTACTGTATGCATATATATTTATTTAATTTTCAAAAATTGCCGAAAACTTTCGTTGATTTCACTTTCATAAACATACAAAATTCTATTTGGCTAAAATGCAATTAAGTTGGAAAATGAAAATATTCGTGAAAGTCTTTTTACCTCACAGCAAAGTTGTTTCAGCAACACAAACATAGCCGAATATATGTATTTAATATTGAAATTAATGGCTTCAGCTTTTCTATGTTTATGAATGATATCAGTGGACGGCTCTTGGCCAGACGTGTGTAGTATTTATGTCCTTGCCGCCTGCCAAAGAGCACTCAGCGGCATAAGCATGCTGCAAGAGACCTTCACAAATGCTGACAGTTGGCTAATTCTCCACAGCGACAATATAGTTATTGGTCGATATATTCATATTCATATTCAACTAAATTATATACTATATCTCTGTGACAACTAAAACCAAAGAAATTCTTTTTCTTTTCTTTTTTTTTTTCAAATTGGCAAACGCAAAGCTAACGAATGGCGTCAGCGCCCATTTTAAAAAAAGTCGAAATCAAATAGATATATCTATATATACATATATATGTAGAGCGAAGCCATAAAAGAATTGGGAATTGAGTGCGAAAAGTCGAATAAACATTTAGCCCACTTCCGTTAGAAAATAGCACAGTCTACAGATAATTTCATCAGAGACTTTAGAATAGGTCATGATTTATTTGCGTACGACTCTTTGTTTGTCTGACATAATTGGGTTGGCTGTTCAGGTGTGCAAACTGTGATTGATTAGCCTCTGTGTGCGTGTGTGAGCTGAACTCTATGCTAGACTGATCCCGTGCTTATTACGATCCCAATCAATCCAATCTCTTCTGTACTCACAGTGTAATATGTTATATTGAAGTGTGCCCCCATCCAAAGAAAAATTAAGTCTATCCCATTGAAGTGTCTTCGCAAAATCCAAACCATATCAAAGCAAAAGCAAAAGAAACCGTCAAGTAGTTTAAACGTAGGCTGTGAAAATTGAATATGTCCGGGCCACCGCCATTTGGCAATGGGCCACGTGGCTGGAATCCACGTGCACCCAATCCCGCCTCGCCATCGCCCTCTTCGTTTCTGTATCGTCCGCCCTCGCCGTGGACAACAGCGCCCAGTCCGCCGCCCATAATATCCGGGCCGCGTGCCTTTGGCCAGCCCATGTCGCCGGCGCCACAGCTGCGTGGCCAGCGACCCATCGGCAGCGTCAGCAGCAGCAACAACAACAACGCCATGCCGCATCCACGTCCACAGTGGCCTGGCGGCAATCAATCGCCAGCACCGTATCAGCCGCCGGGCATGTTTGAGCCGCCGGCCTATGCGTATGGCGCCGCTCCACGTCCCTTTCGCCCTGCTCCGCTGCAGCAGATGCAGCATCAGAACTCGTATGGCGGCCAGCCGACCAGCTCGTTTCAGCTGTCGCCCACACCGTCGCCCATTGTCTGCCAAACGCCCAGCTCGGACTTCACCTACAGCAGCAGCCGGCAGACGCCTCTATCGCATCAGCAGCCGCACTATCCGCAGCCGGCGCCACCGCCGCAATATTTGCGCCAGACCGGTGCACCACCACTGCCACCACAACCGAGACAACACGGACAGGATCAGATCGATTTTGTGGGCGTGCCCTTGGAGCCGCCACAGCCCAGATCCTATGTCATCTACGACGATGAGGAGGAGTTTGGCCCATCGACTGCCGAGATAATTGCGAATCAATCTCAAGACTACATCGATGAGAAGCTGGCCGAATATCAAATGACAATAACGCAGCTGCAAGGTAAGTGAAGCCAACATTAAATTTAGAGTAATATATAGAGAAATGTTTATAGCTGTAAAATCTTTGATGAAATCTTATTCAAAATGTTCCCTTGCCAAATTTCGTGCTTAAATGAAAATGGGCTAAATAACGGTTTTATTAATATGTGTATATTAGACAGAGGTAGGCGTGGTAGACCACATATGGTATATACATATATATATATATATACATAGCTTGGAAATATAACCTGATTTTTCTATTCCTCACTCCTTAAAGTTCGTTAATGAAAATTTGAATAACAATTAAATTTCTAGTATTTAAAAAAGTTAATGAGTGAACGGTTTCAATTTTATTTAAAAGAAAGAAAAGCGTATTTTTTTTAACTACTTAAGCTTATTTTTTCTGCATTTGTTATATACATAAACTATATTTTAAAGTTTTTTTTTAAGTACTCAACTTAAATTTCATTAGTATTTTTTAATTACCTAAACTTAAATTTCTTTGGTATTTTTTGTAGCACCTAAATTTAAGTTTCTTTAGTATTTTTTGTTTTTATTTTATTTTATGTTTATTTAAGTTTTAAAAGTTTTTTTTTAAGTATTTAAATTCTGCTTTTCTCTATTATACTACATTACTATAACAGCAGGTCTTTGGAGCCTGAGTATATCAGAAGTCATAGGGCTGTTCAGTAAGGGTTTAGCACATATAAACAAAACATTGTTTAAAAATTATTCTTGAATTTGGATTACTAAACTAGATGAACTTTTTTAAATCTATGTTGCGAAGACTCATGTCGTTTTCTAGTCTCTTAAATATATATTTGAATTATATATTTGAAAAATATTTTTTTAACCATATTTTTTTATAAAAATTGTGAAATCTGAATAGAAACTCGACTTTATGGCAAAGAAAAAAAACAAAATTATTGATTAATTTTTTATAAAAATTTTTATCTAAAATTTCAAAGAAAAATATTTTGTAAAAAAATTAGTCTTTCAAAAATTTCCATTGACTCGCATTAGTAGCAACGTTTGTCATATTTATGAAGAAAAATATTGATGTTGAGTGCTTGCTAAGATAAATGATATCATATCTCTATATAAACATTTTATGCATAGCCAATAATTTGAGCATATTTTAAATTCTTCCAGAACACAGAAGGCACAGCATTTAGAATGAATCATCTCTTTAGAGAATTGTTTCCAAAGAGTTCCTTTTATACTATTACATAGTAAATAAAGAAATGTCTCGGAATAATATATTATTTATTTGATTTGCAATTTAGCAAGCATCAAACATTCGAGACCCTTACTTGGGCGTGACTATTTCGATCATCGAATGAGACAGCGTAATGCACTCCAGAATGTCCAGTAATTTTTGCACATCCTGAAGGGACGTGACCGCTTCTGGGGCACCCGTTAGATTGACCAGCTTGCCATCGAAATTGACCGTATATTGCTTATGCTTGAAGATGATGACACGATCGTAGGGCACGTGGCATTTGTTGCGCTCCTCGGGCGGCAGTTCGCGGCGAAAGATCACGCACGATGGCTGATACTTATGGCGTTCACGTTCGGGTATCTTGTGCACCTTCAGATCGCCCGTAAATATGGTCAAGGTGTGACGCTGCAGCACAGCCGGAGCCACCTTGTACAGGGTGACCTTGCTGCTCCAGCTCTCTGTGGGCAGTTTCATGTGCTTGGCTGCATTGGCCAACTTGACCAGCGGCAGCTCCAGATGATGTCGCTGCTGACGCGTCTCGGCTGGAAAGATCTTGGGACGTATAACATACCAGGTGTCGTAGTAGGTTACCTGCTTAACAATGTTCCCATTCACCTGGCAGTGGGTGATCGATTGCAAGTCCTTCTGCTTGAACTTCTGCTCCGGGAAGTTTCTAGGCTTATTAAAGGCAGCGACGTTAGGCGTCTTGGCTCTATTCCCTTTCAGTTCCTCTACGGATTCTTCTTCAGATTCTGTCATTGTTGGGCACAGCTCGCGATCCATGCTCATCAGCGGCTGCATCGTTTGCACATTTTTTCCCGACTCTCCATTGAGTATACGTTGCACGGGCAACGTTTTAACTCCATTTGGCTTCATTTTCCAATGATTTTCCAGATTTTCGTTGAAGTTCTCGTAGAGCAGCTGCTTCAACTTTTTAGGTCGATTGGCTGCTTGGGATCCGTTGGGCTGTTTCGCTTGCAAATTTGATTTTCTAGCTGCTAGAGCGAGCGGCTCAATATGTGCCGGAACTTTACATTTGCCCATAATGAAGGGCCAGCAGAGAGAGAACGAGAGCGAGAGAGAGACGGAGAGACTGCACACCAGAAGACTTAGCAGCCTTCTTCTTCTTGCTAAAAGGATTCACAATCAGTGTGACAGCTTGCAAAGTTAACTTCGAGCAGAGAATCATCGAGAAACATCGCTTTGAGTACTTATCGATAGGCGCGATAGGCACAAATTGAAGTTGCCTAACATTGCTTTGCGATATAAGTATTATTTTGTGCTTAAGTGAAAAAGTGAATTCGAGTTGAAAATTTAATTACGCTCAACATGTACAGTTGCACGTCAACTACGCTAATTGTGTGTGGCACAGGTATCTTTGTTATATACTTATGATGGCTATATGTAGAAACAAGCATACGTATATTTACTTTTTCAAACAATCGCCAAAGCTAGGTTAGAACAGCTGCCGGCCTACAAGTTCCTTGGGTTAATATTGTCGAATGCATATACAAACATATTTACACATGTAAATTTATATATATATATATGTGTATATATATATATACACGTCTTCACACTCCTTTGGGTATCGCGCTGTGCCCACTGATGATTCAGCTGCGGCCCCCCTTGAATGTCTCATCTGAACTTGACCCAGTCGCCCACGTCGATCAACGTCGCCCAAGTTTTTAGAATTGACCATGCACACAGAAATTTGTGTGCTTTCTTTCACCTTTTACAATGTGTGTTTGTCATGCCAGAACTATATGTGTATGCTTATGCATATACCCTGTAATAACATGCTGGACATCTTTTGTTTGGCAACTGCCAATTGCCAGGGCTGCAAACGCAAACGCAGAAATTGCGCTAGTTCACAATGGGCACTAGCTCTTTGCTATAAGATTTAGTTCGTGAAACAGGAGAATTTTAATTTTATACTAAAAGGAAATAGAAACAATATATATGTTTAATATATATATGTAACTATATATGACTTTTTTATGTAGATCATATTATTTTTAAGACATTTTATTAATTTATTATTTATCAACATTTATTAACAAAAGAAACGTGGATTCAACCATAGAATTCTGTAATGTCTGGGCAATTGTAACAAGTTGAAAGTGAACAGTTCACAGAAGGTTCTTATAGTAGCGCTATAAGATATGCTGATCATATTTGGTATGCTATAAATTTTGAAAACTTTCTATACATTTCTTTTTAATTCTGACTTCAAATAATAAATATTATAAAATATAAATTAATTTTTTTTATAGAGCATTCCCTAGTCGTTCACTTACTTGTTCCATGCCATTTGTGCTGCTCTATTTATAGGCGTATTAGTAATCGCCAATAGAGCAAGGCATTATAAAGCCTTTAAATACATTATAGAAACCATTTTTGGTACTTTTGACACAATAAATGCGATTGCAAAGATAGATGAAATACATCTGTAACAATTTATTTTGGGATTTTACACATTTCATTTGATTACACTAGACTACAAGCTGAATAAATTGCACTTTAAATTCAGCAGAATTTAATTTAATAATTTTTTACTGCGAATTGTCAAGTTCAAAGACAAATTTGATTTAATTCATTTAAAATTTAAGCTCTTTTAAGACGATATATTGAAAGAAGATAGAAAAAAAATTTAAGTTTGCTGAAGAGTATATCTGCGAATGATGGGTTATATATGTGTATAGTAAGTGAGATCGATTCAAGAATTAAAAACTGCAAAACAAAATTTAGAAATTCTTTAAAAAATTATCTTAAATTCTTCAGAAAAATTATATATTCATGTATATATACTTTGTCTCTTTAAAGTAATACCTATAACATACTATAGACTGGTGAAAACATTTGTAGAAAACTATATATATATTCATACTCATATATATATGATTGATAATACTTAAAAAAAAAACTATTTAAATATTTTTCTATAATTTTTTTTAATTTTTTTATTATCATATCAAGTTTGGGCATATTATAGCTATAGTTATATACATATATATACAGTAATAGCCAGCTTGTTAGCTCAACTCTTGGCCAAAGAAAGTGTGCTGGCCATGCTTACGCAATCGGTGCCCGGACTTTTGTCCAGCGAATCCAAGGAAGGGGAAAGAACTTGATCAGGTCTCAGTTCCTGATTGAGTGCGTACGTATTATAGCATAGCACTAGTCGGGTATTCAATCCCTCGAATATGCTGGCCACACTGGGCTTGAGGTTGAAGAATATGATCTTCTGCTGCCTGGCGCGAAAGTCGGCGACCATTGAAGAGATGACTTTGGCGGCGGTAAAGTCGGCGGCATAGATATACGTGCAGTCGATGACAATGGGCAATGAGCTCCGGCTGCCCGACTTGATCACCATGTTACGCACAAACTCAACGGAGGGAAAGATTAGGCAGCGATCGGGCGTTATTTTGAGAAACTGAATGCCCTGCTCCGTTTCCAGCTGCTCCACCATGACCTTGGGCCGTGCCGAGTGATAAAGTATGAACAGCTGATTGGCAGCAATGGCCACCAGAATGCCAATCTCCAAGGGCAGAACCAGGCAGCTGACAAAGGCCAACATACCAGGCAACAGATCAGAGCCTTAAAAGAGAAGTCAATTGTAAAGAGAGAAGAGCAATCTCACCTACTGTCACTTACGTTTGCTGCGCCACATGGGTACTACGATCTGGTATTGCACTTGGAATATGACCGCCGATATGAGTATGGCCGCCAGCACAGCTCGTGGTATGAAGCAAAAGTATTCGGTGAGGAAGCTTAGAGCAAGCACCACAACGAGGCCGATATAAAAGTTGGACATGCTGGTGCGACAGCCGCTGGCATTGTTGATGGCGGACCGAGCCAGGCCGCTGTTGCTGCGATAGCCGCAGAAGAGCGAATTGGCTATGTTGGCCATGCCCGTGGCGAATATCTCCTGGGTCATGTCGATGGGCTTGCCCTTGGCAAAGGCCTTGCACACCGATGCACTCTCGAGCAGCGCTATCAGCGGCACTATAATCAAGCCATAGCCCAAGTCCTGCACCATCTCGAGGAATGTTTGGCCAGGTATAGCTGGAATGCCGGCTGTGGCGTTGCCAGGCTGTGGCTCAATTGAGAAGGGTGGCAATGCCAGCGTTGGCATGCCAGGCGGTATATAGCCAGTCAACTGAAAGGGATTCCTTCCAGCTGCTTCTAAACGCATGGCCAGCACTGTGGTGACCAGCACAACCGTCGCATTCCTCGAGATGCCCACGAAGCGTATAAGATTATTCACAATGCGCTGCCAACGAGATTGCTGCGCTAGCTCCTTTGGTCCAATCGTCATTCTGCCCAGGCTGCGCATGATCAGGAGTACAACGACGCAGCCAACACCTAAGTAACTGTCCGCTAGGCGTATGTCGCCGATGTTCTTGAGCATGCTAATCCAGCGCTGCAGAAACGAGGCTCCGTCGCTGTTCACGCCCAGTATGTACTTCATTTGCGAGGTGCTCACAATTAGCGCTACGGCGCTGGTAAAGCCCGCACTCACCGGGCCCGACACGAACTCCACCAGGGAGCCCAGCTTGAAGAGCGCCATCAGCAGCTCAATGAAGCCCGTGATAAAGGTGAGCAGCACCGAACGCTGCCACGAGCCCTTGGCGAACTGGTACGTCATCAGCGAGGCAACAGCTGTGCTGCCAATGGTGCAGTCCTTGCAGGTGCCCAGCAGCACGTACATGAAGCAGCCCATAAACGAGCCATATAAGCCGTACTGCAAAGGAATTAGTTGTGGGAGGGGTTAAAGGAATAATTAGAAATTAAATTAGGATTCGTGATATTCTGTTTCCAGTTAGTTAGACGACCTACAAACAGTCAGATATCAGTTTTGAAATTATCATTTAGTAAAAAAAGAAACATTTACTGAATGAAAATAAAATTAAAAATGATTGCATTGATTGGAAGAAGGAGGGACAGCTTGGCAGTGGAATACTTCAGGCTGTATCATAATTGGTTTCCAGTTTAATAACAGCCGAAAAAGGTTAGTTTTTAATTTTAGTTATATCAAACAAAACTCTGAAACGCGTTTTATGATTAGTACAATTTTGTATCTTTCTCTTAATTTGAATTTTGTATATTCAAAAACTTTAAATTATTTTTTCGTTGGCTTTTTCACATTGAAGAACGTAATATATCTCCTGCCATCACGCCTTATTAATTTTTTAAACAAATTGAGGATCATAAAGTTTTGTTCTTAATTTTATTTTTTCATTTAAAATAAAATAAAATATTTTATCAAATAGTTTCTATTTTTTTATTGATTTAAAAATTTAATTTTAATTTCTAAATTATTTCTATTATAATTATATTATATCAATATTTATTTAAAAATATTTGATATATTTTTTTTATTTATTTAAAATCGACTATACATTTTATATTTTTTGGAATTTTTTTTTTAAATTTTTTATTATTAATCCTGGAGATTTTTTTTCAAAATTTCAGTTAACTCTTTTATTTTAAACATTGATTTATTGATATTTAGTTTAATTTTAATTTATTATTTAGTTTTCCATCATTTAATTATTTTTTATTTTTTTTTATTCCTAATAGTTTTTGTAAGACCGCAAAAATGCAGGAATATTTTTCGATAAACATAACTTTGTTCAAACTGATATGCTTTAAAGCAATTTAAATTATTTTTCTTTAAAGTTTTTTATCTTAACTGATTTTTCGTTAAACTTTTTCTTTTAAGCTTGTAGCATTCTCTTAAGAAATGGATGGGAATTTGTGCCATTTTTATATATTTGAATACACAAAATAAAGTTGAAATACGTCAGCGTCTTTTATGCGCACTCAGAAGAATATCACTTTTTATATTATATTTAATTAGTTTATAATTTTCACTTAGAATAAGCTATATATAGCTACTATAAAGATAAGACTGAGAAAACATATTTACACAGCCACACGAACAATATTCGTTGGAACAACTTACCTGAGGTGGCAAATTAACAACGCCCGAGTAGGCCAGACCTTGGGGAATGACCGTAAGGCCCACTGTGAGACCAGCGATCAGATCGCCCAAAGCATCACTACGGTTGTATTTGGGCAGCCAGGTGAGAATGGGCAGACGTCTCTTTAACGTCTTCAGGCGACAGATATTGTCGCAGCGGCGACTACAGCTCGATTCATTTGACTCTTGCTTGGCGGCTTCCAGCTGCTCGAGACTTTTGAACTTGGAGGTGCGATGATCTGTCAGCAGAATGAACTCCGTGGAGCTGTTGCTAAACTGCGATTCCAGATTGTGATTGAGCTGTGTCTGCTGGCGGAATGTCACCTCGTTTTCAAGCGTGGACATGCTAAACGCAGTTTGTGTTTCTTTTCTAAACTGTGGTCTTGAATGTCTATTAACGGACTGAGTAGAATTGTAGATTGGACTGATTATATTTGGAGCAATGCTGCGCTGCTGCGGTTGCTGCTTCTGCTGCTGCTACTGCGGTTGCTGCTGGCAGCGGCTACTGCGGCATGCGGCTCTTATCGTGGGCACCCACTTGTGTTTGTACAGCCAATGGCGTAGATGTGGGAGCGGGATATAGGTTGTATGTTTCAGTTAACTGCGCGTAAAGCGTACTATAATCTCACACCACACATCACAATGACCAGCCCCTTAAAGTTGTTTATCCAAGTGTCAACTCGTTGCTCCAAATTTTTCCATTTATCAATTGGCCTCTGATTATTGGGCGCGCAAATATTGATGAAGATCGAAATCTTGTTAAGTACGTTATATGATATCTACATCGCTTAGATATAACCCAACAACTAAAGTCATTTTCTTTTCTTTATTTCACAATTGTACGAAATATAAATTATTATATAAGAACTTAAATCGCTAGCACATGTCATAAAAGCTTTATAGCTAAAAAAACGATTTAAATATATATAGAATATTTTTTATAATATATAAGTATTCGAAATATATTTGATGATTAATCTTTAACCAATTCGTGCATCTGTTCATAGTTTCCATTGAAATATTTGCGCGCTAAACTTTTACAAAATTTCCTTTTAAATATCACTTTTGCAGTATTTAGTACATTTCCTAACAATTGCCTAGCATACAAAAAGCCCATTGTGCTTAAATAAAATTAAATTTCCTACAAATATCCCAAGAAAACATCCTTCCCAAATAAGCCTTACGCCAAATTTCCTCTAAAATGATCCACATTATCTCTGAGCATACTTAATAAATTTCCCGTATGTATAACATATCCCTGAAAAATGTCCCTATTGAATGAATGAGTTAAATGAAAGGAATTTTAACGAAGGACTTTTCAAATTAAATACCTAAAATTCCCACTTTAACTAATTTGTAAACAGTCAAACTTGAAAAGTTAAAAACATTCGTTATTATTGGAAATATGTAAAGGTGAAACGCTTAATTGAAATTTGAAAAATAGCAAAACTAATTTATCTTGCTAAGAGATTGTGTTATTGTTAACGCAATTGACTCAAAGCCACGATGTAAATGTGATCTGTAAACCAAAGTCAAACGCAAAATGGTGATCACACTTTGCTGTCGACAAGGTTTACGAGTATTAAAGCCTTTTGTTGATTATACGACTTGAATAGATGTATTAAGTAGAAGTATATATATAAAAGTATACCTATATATGTATATATGTGCATATCTCTAACTAAGTACAAAGGCAATGAGATCACTTTTTTGTATATTGAAACGCAGCTCGTCTATGGCACGTCTGCTATTAATGTATGTATGTACATATGGATGTATGCGTGTGCATGTACATATGTACAATTAAAGCTGTTTACAGAGACAAAGGCAGCGAGTGAAAATGAGTTTTCACGTTCGACTGATGCTGGCGCTGATGTCACGGGGGAAATGCTGCCTACATTTTGTTATTTATAAATTGCATTTGCCTCGCTCTTTGTTGTTGCAATTGTCTTGTTAGCCAACAAAGCCGGCCAAAAAGAAAGAACACGAGCTAATCGTGTGTATGCTTCATGTTTGGTATAAAATATCATCTAGGGAATCGGGTATGACTCTGCTATATTTAGTCGATTCATTCGCCCTGCTTTTCCTGCTATTTTCATTCTGAGCCGTTTTTCTTTTTCTTTTCAATTTACTCGAACTTGTCTTGTCACGCCGCTAAAGTGATTAAAAATAGAGTTTTTTTTCATTTTCCTTCAAGTTTTTTCAGCATTTTCTGGGTTTTCTCATTGCACTCGCATGTGCTTATACCATATATTTTTGATCTATTTTTAAGAGGGATTTTGTGCTTGTTTTAAAAATAAAGGTTGGTTGGAATGGAATTTAAAATAAAAGACAAATGCGACAGGTTTTTGTTTAGAATAAAGGAAAATTAATATTTTAGTTGGTATAAGTTTCTATATGGAATGGAAATATAAGTTTAAAGAAAAGATCAATTTATATTTAAAATAATTAAAGGAGCATAAATTTCTGCATGAAATGAAAATATAAGTGTAAGAATTTCAATAAAAAATAATTTATTTTAGATCAGATTGCTGGAATATGAGTTAACCTGGCAACTGGAAGTAATATATATATATATAATATGCATATATATATTCAAGTATAGTGCTACGAAATTTTAAGGCGTTTAATGGACGATATTGAGATTGATTGCTTTTTGATTGATATGTAAATATATATATATATATATATATATATAGACAGTACTTACGTTTGAAATCTAGTCTATATATGCTACGCTAGGCAACATAACTATATAGATTGTTTGGTTTACTTTATTTAGTTGTTTAATTTACAAAAAAAATAATTTTTATTTTCTGATTTAGTGAGATTAATGATTTATCGAACAAATCTATGAAAAATATAAGAAATCAAATAAACTTTAGTATAATTAGTGTGTCTTGTTTAAAAGAGCATAAATGTAAGCTACATAAGCCAACCGGATTGGCATCTATGAAATCGAAATAGACATTTCTTTATTTCTCTCTATTATGACGTGGGTCTATTGAATCTATATAGAAATCAAATGGCAAACATATGAAATGCATAGCTATAAATAGATATTTCGAAACTAATTTTAATAAATTCAGCACGTAAGAGTCGGTCACGAATGATATTCTATAGATATATACGTATCTAGATATAGTCGAGACATATGCGAATGGCGCAATTCAAACAAATCAAAATTGTTGACAGTGCGATTTTTAATTGCCTTTTTATGATTCTGGTAATTGTGTACGTGTGTGTGAGAGTGTGTGCGTGAGCTCGAAAATATTTTGATGTCTAATAGTTTTAATGGTTTACATAGCTTAATTTTTGTGCAAATATTTTGTTGGTCAAGTCTTTAAAGGAACACAATTCGCTTTCTTGGTTTCATTTTAATTGACTTTTCGACTCATTTATTAGATGCCTGAGCAGATACCTATATATATATATATATAGTTTAGACTTTCGGAGAATGTCTGTTTACAAAAGCGCTTTTAGTGCTTGAGTCAATATTTTTGAAAAACGTTTGCGTTTGCCTTTCCATTAAAGTGCCCAACTTTATGGTTAGGTGCGAAATAAATAGCAAAAAAAAATTTATTTTTAGCCCAGCCAAAATATTGAAACGTGTTGAAAACCCAAATGTGAAAAGTAGGAAACAAATGTTTATGCGAAAACTGTTTTGTTTGCTCAAACTTGAGCCGATTGATGGATGATAAATATATCCGTCTGAAGCAAAATAGATTTCAATATGTTTATAAAATCATAAATATATTCAGTGCTTTGCTATCAAACGTACAAATTGATATATTTCGAAAAATGAAAAAAGTTTTTCACTCAACTCTATTGAGCATTATAAATAGATTATCTAAAATATATATATGTTTTATTTCCAGATAATTTAGCGTTTCTATTTTTGAACTATTCCGCGGAATTCGTATGGATAACTGTTATTTTTGGTACTATTTATATTTTTACTAAAAATAAATTTATATATAAATATGTTTCAAAATTGTATTGTATTCAAACATTCTAGAATTGAATTCTAGAATTTGATTAAACTATTGTTATTATTAACATCATGCAAACAACATGCCTGAAGACTTTCGATTAATATTTTAGGATTTTTGTATACAATTTTTATAAATAAACAAATTATTTATATAAATATTTCAAATAAGACAAACATCGAATATTATTGTTTAGAAATTCCGAAATACTAAATCAACAAGTTCTTTATGTAGCTGAATAATTTATTGACCAACATTACAGTGTATCTGCAGACAACAGCTCTGCTAGATGTTAGCATTCAGTTTTAACAGTGAACTGAGGCCAGCTTAACAGCTTCTGTTAAAGGCTTAACAGCAGTTGTTGTGCTAATTAAAATAACATAGGCTATTTATAGCCACTTATAGTCACTTCGGTTGGCCTATCAAGTGTGCTGCCACTTAACATTTTTACAGCCACACTCTGCTTTACGTTGTCTAATAAAATTTACATTTTCGTTGTTGTTGTTTTTGCTCTGTTGTTATTGTAGGTGAGCTGTCCAGATGTAGCCACTGTTGTTTATCCAATTAATTCATGTGCGCGCTGTTGTTGTTAAATAGATTTAAGTATTTGTTTTTATGGGCATATCTGTATCTAGAGAGTTGCTCTAGTGTCGAGCGCATCTCTCCCTTCACTTTACGTGCAGAAATGTTATTGGCGCTGACTGTTAACTGCTGTTAGTTGAGGGACAATTGATAGATGAGTTTTGTCTTTATCTTTTTAAGCTTTTATGAAAGTTCGTTTCAAACATTAGTCGGCGACTTTATGTGCGTATGAATGCACAGATTTGGATTAGAGTTTTTATATAAATAGATATCTGGGCATAACAAATTTGCCGTGGTTTTAAGGTCAACTTCTAGTTTGACAACAACAATCAACTGGAATGCGCTCACCAAAGCGTGACGTCATTAGCCTAACTCAACATGTAGCTCCAAAAACTAGTTTGTTTGAGTGTGATAAACACAAATGGCGATTATGTAAGCTCGAAAAATAAACATTTGTTTTGGTTTCTGTGACTGGCGGCCGATCGCGCTTTCATGAATGACTTTCATTAAATGCTGTAAGTTGAGCTTTATTATGTGATGACCCACATTTGCTATTCAGGCGCCACTTCAAAAAAACGGTACATGTTTACCAAATACTTTGAAATCGCTTTTCGAGCTAGTATTGAATTACAATACAATATACATATATATTCATCTCTGTGTGTATGTGAGTGCATTTCTGTGTTTGTATATTTGTTACAAACAACCACCCAACAACAATGTGTGTAATTGGTATTTTCTCACGCTCATGATGTCACACACAGAAGGCGTAAGGAAACAACAAAAACAAAGCAAAGCGCAATAAGAAGTAAAATTGTACTTGAGCTTCAAACACATACATAGGAATGCAGAAGTATAGGCAGACATAGAAAGAGAGAGAGAGAGAGAACGCGTATGAATGATTTATGACATTGAGAGCGCCAGTAAATGAGAGCGCAAGTTACAGTACTCATTCAAACCTTTACTGCCCAATAAAAAAATAGAAGAGCTTTTCTGCGTATCGGCACTTTTCATAGACGTAGGGCAGTTTCAGTGACGTCGTGTTTAGCAATGCATGAATTCTCAAGGGGGTCAAAAAATATATAAATAAATAAATGAATGAAGAACTGCATTTAAATTTGTCAATAATTTTTTATATTTTTATGTTTATGCTAAAAAATGATGTAAGTAGGAGTTTTAGAAAGATATCGTCTCTAACTGGCTCGAGTAATATTTATTTTTTTTATTACAAGTTGAATAATAATTAATGTTTGACCCTTTTAAAAATATCATTAGCTTCGCCCATGCTATGATAGCACAAGCCGTCGGTTCAAAGGTAGTACGTGCTGCCGTAGAAGTAAGCACGGAGTGGGTAAACATACATCACAATGCGTAAATAACATAAACGCGCTCTCATATTCACATACGTGTTGCTCTCTTCTTAAAAAAAAAAAACGAACAAGTAAGAAAGCTCTAGTCGGGGTGCCCGACTAGGAGATACCCTGATCCCAGTCCTTTGAGTTTTGTAATATTTTCCGTAGTTTGTATCGAGTATTAAAAAAAAAAGAAAACAAATAAAAATCGACATTGCGAGACCAGGATTCGAACCCGGATTATTTGCGCAACGTGCACAAACTCTACCAACACCGCCACTTCATAACTAAAAAAAAAAAATAAATAAATAATATAAAACAATAAAAAACATTTCATCTCCTCTGGTCTCGAACCCGGACCAAGCTGCATCCGAGAGGTGCCTCTACCAACGCAGCCACTGCCCTTCTTACGCGAGCTGTTGCAAATTTGAACATAAGTAGCAGCTAATAATTCAGCACAATTCAATCGCAATTTCAATTCTTGGAATAGAAAAGTATACACGCATTTGAATGTATGTGTGCACACGCATAGGAAAAATGCGTGCGCGTGGCGCTGCTGACATGTGCTTTTGCAAATTGGCCAAACGTTTTGTTTAATAACTTCTGTTTTACTTAATGGATTTTAATGAAATTTTCAGCATATGATCTACATATCCTATTGGCTTGGTTGAGATGCAAACGCCTTCACATAATGGCCCTAGTTCCAACTAAACTTAAATTCTAAGAATTTGGGGGAATTTGGAGCCGGTATCCAAAATCCAACAAAAATCAAAATTGCATAAAATATACATAACACTAAATACAAAATTTGGAGGCTCTAGCTCTTAAGACGTTCGAGATATAATTTATTTACTGCATTTCAATAATGTTTTTATTCGATAACAATTAAATGCGAATAGTTATCGAATATTTGAAACAAACTTGACCTGCGCGTGCTATACACGGACCTACAAAAAAAATTTCAAGTCTCTAGCTCTTATAGATGCTGAGATCCACGCGTTCACACATACGGACAGACGGACAGACGGACAGACGGACAGACGGACAGACAGACAGACGGACAGGGCTCAATCGACTCGGCTTGTCGTCCTGATCAAGAATATATATACTTTATGGGGTCTGCCACGCCTCCTTCTGCCTGTTACATACATTTGCACAAAACCATTATACCCTGATTTCCCATTTTTAATGGGATCAGGGTATAAAAATAAATAAATAATATAAAACAATAAAAAACATTTCATCTCCTCTGGTCTCGAACCCGGACCAAGCTGCATCCGAGAGGTGCCTCTACCAACGCAGCCACTGCCCTTCTTACGCGAGCTGTTGCAAATTTGAACATAAGTAGCAGCTAATAATTCAGCACAATTCAATCGCAATTTCAATTCTTGGAATAGAAAAGTATACACGCATTTGAATGTATGTGTGCACACGCATAGGAAAAATGCGTGCGCGTGGCGCTGCTGACATGTGCTTTTGCAAATTGGCCAAACGTTTTGTTTAATAACTTCTGTTTTACTTAATGGATTTTAATGAAATTTTCAGCATATGATCTACATATCCTATTGGCTTGGTTGAGATGCAAACGCCTTCACATAATGGCCCTAGTTCCAACTAAACTTAAATTCTAAGAATTTGGGGGAATTTGGAGCCGGTATCCAAAATCCAACAAAAATCAAAATTGCATAAAATATACATAACACTAAATACAAAATTTGGAGGCTCTAGCTCTTAAGACGTTCGAGATATAATTTATTTACTGCATTTCAATAATGTTTTTATTCGATAACAATTAAATGCGAATAGTTATCGAATATTTGAAACAAACTTGACCTGCGCGTGCTATACACGGACCTACAAAAAAAATTTCAAGTCTCTAGCTCTTATAGATGCTGAGATCCACGCGTTCACACATACGGACAGACGGACAGACGGACAGACGGACAGACGGACAGACGGACAGACAGACAGACGGACAGGGCTCAATCGACTCGGCTTGTCGTCCTGATCAAGAATATATATACTTTATGGGGTCTGCCACGCCTCCTTCTGCCTGTTACATACATTTGCACAAAACCATTATACCCTGATTTCCCATTTTTAATGGGATCAGGGTATAAAAACAAAATTTGCGCAGCGTCTCTCGTTACGCTCGCGCTCTCTCATTGAAATTTGAGCTTTACTACGATTACTATAGTCCAGCCAGTACTCTGGGCTGCTGCTTCTGTCTCTGCTGCTGTTGTTGGTCTCTGGACAAGGCGTAGCACATTGACGATGGCAGCGACGACGACTCAGTATCGAACCGGCTTTCTACAACAACGGATTGGAAACGGAACAAATGAAACCTGAAGCTCGACTATAATGTGTTGTCTGCTTGCCGAAGGCATGCCATTTTAGTCTGAGTTTAATAGTGTGGAGAAGTGGACTATAGAATTTTGCCGAAAACTAAATTAAATCAAATTTCTGTCTAAGGCATACAAATGAAATACGTGTTTTTTACCTAACGACTCCGTCGTTGTATGTGATATAAATATATGGTGTCATAAAACCGAAAGAAGAAAGAAAAAAACCGAAAATCTAAAATCCAAAAAGCTTCGGTGATTAAAAATTGTGTGTGGTGTGCTTTTAACAAATTACAGTTGAATTACGAACGGGCCATAAGTGACTTCAATAAAAAAATACAAGTGAAGGGCACACGGGGGTTGTTAACGAGCCAGGAAAACTCTGCGGAAAAGCTGATGTTATTATTGTTGTTGTTCTAGTTGTCGTCGCGTGAGAAAAATCAATTTTGCATTTGGGCTGCCTAGCGAAGCGGCAATAGCGAAGCAGGACAAAAGGACAAGGCTGTGGCTAGCGAACCCAAATGACATTTTGGCCTAAGGACAAGCGTATTAGAAAACCGATGCTATCATGGCCGATAGCACAGATCCAGGCAGGCATAAGGATCCAACCATAGATGCCGGCGCCAGCATGGATGTGGGTAAGGACGTGCCCCCAATACCAGCTGTTCGACGTCGCCATGCGCATGAGCAGAAATCCACTGAGCATGTCGAGCAGCAGGAGGAGGCATCGGAAACCAAACAGCTGGAGACGTCCACTGTGACGCGCACGTATATGAAGACCATTACCACGTCACTGACCACCACCAGCAGTGCCGGCGATCTACAATTGGAGACGCCGCCGCAACGTTTGCGCCAAAAGGTGGCCCAATATGAGAAGGTGTGGTCCGATGGCACTGGCAAGCGTCCAGCCGAGCTGGGCACGGACGAACTGCGTCAGCAGCAAACAGACGATTACGACGAGGAGAATCCTTTCGATATTGATGTGCATGAAATAGAGCGACGTTTGCGTGAGGAGCGACAACGCGGCCTGGCCGAAGCGGAGGCAGCCAAGCTGGCCTTTCAGCAGGTGCATCTGCGTCACACGACCCCACGGCGCGTCGAAGTGACCAGCGAGCACACGGCCAGTCCGTTCAATGTCACCTTGAAGACCACCAGCCGCATAAGTCCTGGCGCTGAGCTGGGCAATGTGGAGGATCAGCTGTCGCCTTTCAATGTCACTTTACGCACCACTCGACGCACTGTAAAAAAGGATTTGTCACGCCAAATGGAACTGGAACGTTTCTTGGATGGCGAGCGCACGGTGCGCGAAGTGCAGTCGGCGGACGGTGTGCGCACCATCATTACCTCTTCGAGGACCAGTGACGGTGGCTATGCCGAGGAGAAAATCTATCGTCATGGCGAGGGCTATGTCTCGCCCCGAGATTCACCCTCCTGGTCGCGCTCCAGCGTGTCCAGCGAGCGTTCGAGTGTCACTTCGCCACATAGCGTCGATATGACCGCTGGTGGCAGACGTATATTAATCAAGTTGGAGGATGAGCCGGAGTCGCCGCTAGCCGGTGGTGAACATGGCGAGCAACCCGATGAAACTGACGGTTCGGTCCGCGCACGCATTCGTCAATTTGGTGGGCAGGACGAGGATGCTATGGCAACGGGTAACATTGACATTACCGTGGGTAGCAACCCACGCAGGCGTCAGCGTTTATACCAACAAACAACGTATCAAATGGGTGGCAACGAGACGCCACAACAACACCAGGAGCAACAGCAACAACAGCAACGGGCAACGCGTCCCAGCGAACTGTCATGGCAAACGGGAAAATCAACAACAAAAACATTGCTAACATCCACACCGATTGGCACGAAGGAGCAACCGCAAACAGTAACGCCGGACGAGGTGTTTAGTCCAGCTGCAACGTGCCAATTGCGCGGTTCTTCAACGGAAGAATCCCGAAAAATTGTTAGCCACAAAACGATAACCAGCACAACGACAACGACCACACAATCCGAACGGTCCGAACGGTCCGAGCGGTCCTCAACGTCCTCAACGTCGCGTAAATCAATCGGTTTTGTTGACTCGAATGCGAGTCCGAGTAACGCTGGCAATATCTCGTTTACCGCCTCGCAGATACGCATCAGCGACGACGCGAACGCGAACGCGGACGTCATCGATAACGATTCCGATACTGAGGGCGTGCCGGCCAGCAGTCTTGTGATTGTGTCCACGCCCACGCGCTCAACAACGCCCTCGTCGGCGCATGCATTGAGCGGCATTGGTACTTTTAGCAAGAGTCTGCGTCAGGATTATCAGACTCAAGCGCAACAAAGTAACCGCAGCACCCACACCCACACCAACGAACCCGAACACGAATACCAGGAGTTCCAATCCACCATGGCGTCGATCAATTTCGCACGCAGCAATTCCCAGTACGACAGCCACATCAAGGAGAAACGAGGTAAACTTAGCCAAGCGAGAGATTTACAATATGGAAAATATTATTGAAATATTATTGACCTGAGATCGAATAGATTCAGTGATCCTTAAGCCTTAATGAGTGTACAACTTAACTGAACCATGCGGTTCAGTTCGGAAATGGTTCTTGATTCATTTGAACTGATTCAACCAGCTAGGCTCACAAAATATTAACTCTTGGTTTCTGATGCATCAATATGAAACTAGTTTTTGGTTTCACTTAACTTTTGAACTTGTTCACATTCACTTGCAAATGGATCTGGTTCAATTAAACCATTTGTGCCTGTACCTTTCAGTACCGCATTGCAGTCTCATTTGACATTATCTTCTCATACCCGGTCTATCGAGTAATCGATCTTTTCGTGACATATCAGCTGTTCGCTCTTTTAGCTTAGCTCTCAATCTTTCCGTCATATCACATCGTTTGCTAGACAAATAATTTGGTTTCTGTTTTGTTATCGCATCAGCTATATTTGTTATATAATAATTAATTCTATATTTTTGCAACATATATATATATATATATATATATATATATATATATATATATATATACTGATAAGGTAGCCTAGGTTGAGGCGCAAAGTACAAAGATATTGCATTTGTGCCCAATGTTTAGCTTCCGATTTGATATTTCTATATTTGTTTACAGCTCACATGGGCAAGTGTTAAAATATTTGGTTAGTAAATAGAAATGTAATCAAGTATTTGTTAGTCAACTTTAAATTCACGCATTTTTCACCAATATAAGTAGATTTAAATGTCTATAAATAGAACTATAAATAGACCGAATGTCTAATGAAATCTAATTAAATGGAAAGGAAAGAGTTGTTCGATCCATCGTTCATTTCTAGTCATTCAACAATTGCTTTTGTATAGATATATAGCTTAGTCTATCTAAATATAAGACAGCAACAATATGTTCAAGATTTCATCGAGCGTAATTAACTGACAACTTTTTAGTATGATAATGAAATATCAAATGGAATGTCGCTTCGGCTATTCGAACGTTTCATACGAAATGACGGATTAGCCATTCGAACGACTCATTTGTAGGCAATAGAAAAACTATTAATTTGTTGGCTCATCTCTCTGATAGAATTAATAAACATTTAGCGGAAAACGTTTTGACATATATTTGAATTATTATTTTGACGATTGGCATAGAATACAGATATATTCGATATATATATGTTTATAATAATATATATGAATTTAGTAATTTCTTGACTGGTAAACGGGGGCAATTTTTATTTTGAACAAGTTTTTTTGATATATTAAAAAACAATAACAAATATCTACAAATTTAACAAATTTATTTAAAAAAGTTGTCAATTTTTAAATTTGATAAAAACACAAACAAATATTTTAAAATTCAATTTTAGTTAATTAAAAAAATTAAATTCAAACTTCAATTTTAAAATTAACTTTCCAATTGCACTGCTCATTGTGCACATTAGCGAGTGACTACTGTAGATGCCTTTAATATTGACACTTATAAAAAATATCTTTAGCACACTTTGGCTTTATGATTTTAATCGTGCATTGTCATTATTTGTTATTGCACGGATCAGATGAGATCGGAAACCGCGACCACATAGATTGGGCTGGTCAGCTGTGGTCATTGAATGCCAAGGTCAATTTGTGGCATTATTTCTGTGGTTCTGGGGCATTACTAAATAAATTATTGCCGAGACAATCGATAAATTTGTGTTGCCCAAAATGACATCATCATCAGCTGCTTTAGCCTATTGCTGAAGCTTTTGACTTGCCAGCTTATACATTATTTATATATAGGTATATAAAAATGCGCATACAGTGCGTTTGTTATGTATATTTACCCTCAACTGTGTTGGCAAGCAGCAACTGGCTGTTACCTCTTTTGCCCCAGACACAATTCATTGGCAGCCAAAAACCACTCGAAACAACCACCCAAAAAAAAGAAGAGAGATAGAGAGAGAGAGGAGAGGGGTGGTTGGGTGGGTGGGTGTCTGGTTGTTGGGTTTAGCAGGCTTTGCCGTTTGGGTCTCTGGCTTTAACGCTATTATGTGACCTCCTATTGCTCTCTTATTATGTTAAACACAACAAGCAATTAAGTGTCTAATTGTCTCACCAACTCGTCTGTCTACACAAATGTATCTGCAGCTCTAGTTATGCCTATCTATATATATATTTATATATTTATATATGTGCGCCGAGTAGGTGTGTCGCTTGACTTGTCACTTTCAATGTTTGCAGTTTAATGGGGCCATTTTGCTATTTATGTAATTGATTTTGTGTAGCCTGCAGCGATTAGGCTATAAATTCAATGTAAATATAAAGATTGCGTTATGCATCTATGGCAATTTTATTTCTAATGAATATGAATGATTGAAGCTTTTTTATAGTTTGCAAAAATATAATTTAACTAAGAAAATATATATAAATAATAAATAAATGATTTATGAATAATTAAATAAAAAAATTAATATATACAATAACATTACAAGATTTGTTTATGTTGTATAATATATTAAAATATATCTTATTCTATTTTGTTATTATTTTTTTAAATATTTTTATTAAAATATATCTTATTTTATTTTGTTATTATTTTTAATATTTTTTTGAGCGAGTTATATTAGGAGTAGGTGTGTCTTAATTGATTAAAATATATATATATTTCATATTGTGCAAGATTTGATAATAAAAACTTCAAGCCCAGGGCACAGCAATAACTAGTTGAGAATTAGAATTATATTATATATTTTAAGCGATTTCGAATCCCAGATGAGCTTATGAATGTTGAGTTTCGAGCCAAAAGACTTTTTATATAATAGTTACATTTGTATAGGTCGAGCATCCTCTGTTATATATACTGTACATAAGTATAATAATTTATCTATATTATTCACACTGCCCACATTCCTTCTGTATAGCCATGCAATTTAAAAATATATATACTTGTATATCATTTTCAGTTTCAAGTTTATCATTGTTGTCTTTCGATATCGCATCTTATGTGGAAATGTTGACTTGTTTTGACTTGGCTTGTTAAGCTAACTTAAAGTTCAAAAGTCTTAAATGTTGATAGTAAAAATTCCTTTAAAAATCAAGAATAAGGAGTATCTACAAGTCAAGCCTCAATTTTAGCTCAGCTATTTATTTCGTTAGTCAATTTAATGTGACAATTAGTTGGCATAAATAAAGTTTGCGTGCATTTCTTGCCTTCCTTTATATATATAAGACATATATATATATTTATATATTCTTGATAGCAGGGGAATTCGGTTGTTAACGTCAACGGCACTCTGCCAATATGTTTAGATTGCGTGTTTTGGCCATTTTGTTTAGTTTTTGGTTCTTTGCTTTACTTTTTCAGCTTAAAAACTTGGAGCTAGAATGCACAACACAGGCGCAGCTATGTGATTGAGTGTTATGGGTTAGATATCGCTACACGATACTTTGGGGCGCTCTTAATAAATTTATAAACTGTTTGTCATGGCATGTCAACTGTATGCTAATTGACATGCACATCTATACATAAATATATCTATATATATACTATAAAACTATTGATTGGCTCGTTGCTTGGTTCCCCTTTTTCGTTACGATTTTATTGGGCCTTTCATTAAGGTACAAACAAGTCGGGAGAAAAGTCCACTTTTGAGGTCAATCAAGAGTTAAGAGTTGCCTTTTAATGCATATTTAATAGCTATGTGAATCTTATTGGCAAAAATACCGCTGAATATCAGTTACTGTGTCAACACAAGGTTTCCGCTTCACCACCTCTGCCGATTCAAGCCACATTTCAGTGCCAAAAAGTTGACTTTCATCATTTGAATATTAATGCGATTATATGATTATGTTTTTATTGAGAGACATACAATTCCAATACTCAATGCTACATGAAAACGACAAAGATAATTAACAAACAAACAATATTCGAAATGACTAATAAAGTCAAAATAAAACGACGAGATAATACCCTGTTCATATAAAAAAAAACAAATAGTATGATGTATGTGATTACCTAAGGCTTTTGCTCTTATGGATAAACTGAACTGAACTACTGATACAAGTAATCGATATTTATTGATCAGTAAAGAGATTTAACTAGACTTATCTAAAATATTAAATGTAGTAATACAGAATTTGTTGTCTATATTTTAATTATAAAAACATTATATCTTTACAAATAGAATAATCGATATTTATCGATTTGAAATACAAATTCAACTACTAATTGCATTGACTATTGTTGAGCTCAATAATCTATTCTATTAATGCTCAAGTAAAAAGAAAGTACACAGAAATCGATATGTATCGATACACAATATAAATTTAAATACACTTTCATTGACTATCTTAGAGTTATAAGTGCTATATAGGCTATAAGCGAAAAGTTGTGGAAAAATCAGAAAAAAGGCACAAAAATCGATATTTATCGAATTAAAACTGTTACTACTTTAAGCAAATATATTATAATATTTACAATATTTATCGATTAGAAATATTTTGCATTACAGGGAATATATGATTCTTCTGTCTATAAACTACATAGCACCCCATTTGGCGCAGTTTTAATAGGGTACACAACAGTACTTAAATAGCGTTATCTATCTCTCAAATCTGTCTGTCAAAAGCCCAGAACGATCAGCAGCCGTACAACTGTCCGTTCGTCTGTCAGTCAGTCTCTCTGTCCCTCTGTCTGTTTGTCTCTGTGAGATCATCGTGTTGAATTATTTATTTATTGATGCTGCTTGTTGCTGTTGCTGTCAGTATCAATATTTATTGTGTACTGGTCTATAGATTTAGCTATAGCTTTTTAATTGATGCCTAAAATGTGGTTGCGACAACTCGAGAGCGAGAGCGATTGCGAGTGCGAGAAGTTGGCGCCCCACCGAGTGTTTGTTTGTTATTGAAATTCGAACAGCGATTTGTAATTTAAGAAGCGAAACAAGTTTATCAAAGTGAATTTTTCTCAAGTCCACATCATTCACT